CAGCACAACATGACCAAGGAAAGAGAGGACACTGAGAGGAGCACATGAATAAAGGACAACTATGGTAACTACTATAGCAGAGACAATCAGGCAACAATAGAATAAAAAAACAATAATCTACGAATGGATACATAGATAGATATGTCAAGAGGTGAGGGAGAGGGTAAGGGAGCATACCCACTGGCAGATACAGGTACCTGACGGTACATGCTCCTCATATATAAATATAGACAATAGAGTACACAAGAGGCACAGTCAGGGAAACGTCTTAGACGTAACTAAACTCCCCATGGGATAAAGTTCCCAGGCTCAAAGGCAAAAGACCATAGACTCAGGGGACATCTATGTCAATTGGCACAACATAATTCATAAAGACAATGTTCTACATCCTACTTTGGTGAGTAGCATCTGGGGTCTTAAAAGCTCGTAAGCGGCCATCTAAGAAACAGTTACTGGTCTTTTCTAGTCTGGAGCAAAGAAGAGTAAAAACACTAAAGATTCAAGGGAGCAATCAGTCCAAATGACTAATGGATCTCATGAACCATAGCCTACATGACCCTGAGATCAGAAGAACTATGTGGTGCCTGGCTACCACTACTGACTGCTCTGACTGGAATTACAACAGAGGGTCCCAGACAGAATGGGAGAAACATGTAGAACAAATGATCAAATTCACAAAAAAGACCATTCTTACTGGTCTGACAGAGACTTTACGAACCCACGAGACTATGGACCCCGGACACCCTTCTAACTCAGAATTGAAGCCACTCTTGAAGTTCACCTTTCAGCCACAGATTAGGCAGGCCTATAAAACAAACAATAACACATGTGAGGAACATGCTTCTTAGATCAAACAAGTATACAAGATCAAATGGGCAACATCTGCCCCAAAACAAAGATGGTAAGGCAGGAAGGGAAAGTAAAACTAGATGAATAGAAACAGGAAACCTGGGGTGTAAAGGGAAAGGAGGAGAGTGTTGACACAATGTGGGATTGGAACGAATGTCACGAAACAATTTGTATATGAATTTTTGAATGGGAAACTAATTTGCTCTGTAAACTTTCACCTAAAGCACACATACACGCACAAAAAACCCTATAGGGCAGTTCTACTCTGTCATAAAAGGTCACTATGAATTGGAATTGACTGAAGGTACACACAACAACAACAGTCGTTCATTAGTTTCCTTGTTACCTGCTATTGATTCTTCCCCTAACTCTCCCATATAGTTGTGAAAATCATATTAAATACCATCAAACACATCAAGTAATCTACCACTTGCATTTATTCTTAGACATTTCTGCTGGAGCATTCTAGTGCTTTGGACTGTGCCCACTAGGTTGTGCTCTTGAGACTTTCCTTCAACATCACCCTGGGACTCCCTCTGCCTCTCTTCTGTGTTGCTGTTGTTGTTGAGTGCCGTCAAGTCGTGTGAGCCCCTTGTATTCTGGATTCTGTATCTTCCTTTTTCTTGGTTTACTGTCTCATTTTGGTGAAGCAAATCTCCCATGGCTCCCTAAGAAAGAGTGCTTGTCAAATAATTTCTGCTAGGGGAAACTGGGGAAAGGGTATATAGGATCTCTCTGTACTATTATTGCAACTTTTGTGAATCTAAAATTGCTTCAAATTAAAACTTTTTAAAAAGTCAAAAAAAAAAAAAGCAGCAAGCATCTCTTCATCTAACTGAGAAGACTCCGTTAAGATAAACAAATTCAGAGTAAGCCTGGGAACATCTCTTGGAGTAGTGCTGGAAAAGACCTCCTGGATTCACTCCAGTTTAATTTGTAGCCTTGGGATAAATCTAAAAAAGACCTTAGGACTCTGAAATAGCCCTAAGAATGTATGCCAGAGGCATATCTAGCAATTATCAAATTAGAGCAAATAATTGGCTACTGATTCCCTGGGGCACATCCAATGGCAAACACTGGCTTGTTCTGGCTCTTACCAGAACATTTATCCAAGCATTTCTCCTTACCAATAATCCACCTCTGGTGTCAGGATTTACCAGAATGATAAATCTACATGTAGGAAAATATTTATTTATTTATTTTTAAATCTGAGGACTTACTATATGCTAGGCACAATCATTGAGATTTGATCCTCACACTTAATCTTGTGAGGTAAGTATTACTGTTACCTCCATTTTACAGATGAGGAAACTGAGGCTTGGATAACTTAAATCAGTTGTTCAAAACACACAGTAAGAGGAAACAGAACCAGGAGCAGAAAACCAGGCATACCTAACACTGTCACTCGACCATGACACTACACTGTCTCCACTATATTCCGAAAGTTAATCATTTAAGAAACTTTTAGTTTTTTTTTAAACAAGTAGCACATTATCAAAACTAATCTAAACAAATCAACAGGCAGAAAAATGTGTAAAGATTTCAAAAGAGTCTCTGGCACTATGCTTCCAAGTCATCTGGACAGTAAAAAAGAAAAGCCTCTTCTAGCTATATGTTCACTAGGGTGAGGAAGAATTATCTGGCAGCTAGCAGTGAATTCTGTTCTCATATTTTCCAGTTGAAAGTAACTGAAAAAAATTCCCTTCTCTCTGAAGTGTATGTTTGGCGACTTTAATCACCATATAAGGAAATGAATGATTCTGAACTTTTCAGCCTCATTCTTCTCTTTTGAGCACTAAAATTTCATTTGGAAGCTAATAACAGAACAAACTGAACCCACTGCCGTCAAGTTGATTCTGACTCATACCAACCCTACAGGAGAGCAAAACTGCCCTGCAGGGTTTCCAAGGAGCAGCTGGTGGATTTGAACTGCCGACCTTCTGGTTAGCAGCCAAGCTCTTAATCACTGTGCCACCAGGGCTCCTGGAAGCTAATAGTATAACGTTATTTAAAGCTAATAGTATAATGTTATTTAAAATTATATACATCAGTGGAAAATATAAACTAAGTGAGAGTATTACTAAGTTTTGAGGAAGAGATAAAGATTTGAATTTGGTTACACTGAACTGAAGGAAAAAAAAAGCCTTTCTTTAATTTTTTTTTTTTTTTTTTGTCCCTGGCTAAAGATGAGTAAATTAAAAATACCTAGCAGTTTGCTAAATATTAGTTTTTTACAGTAATTAATAAGAGCAGTCTCTTAAAATACTGACTTTTTAACAACTGGTACATGAAAAATCCCTTATGAATTTTAAATATTTTATGGACCTCTTAATTTCTCAAAATTTTAATGAAGTTAATGCAGAGGCTCCCTAATAGCTTCTGAATTTTGCCATGTTTTGTGTACTTAAAATACAATCAAAATAAGCCTATTATTGAATCAATAATAAGCAAGTGAGAGTGATAATTTTAGTGGTAATAGAAAGATAATGACACAATTATTATTTTTTATAAAGTTTTTTGTAGTAAACTTAGGTTGGTCTAGATAAACCCATGTTTTAAAATCCCAATCATAATAATTTTTATTAACTTATTTGAATCAAGTTAGACAAATTAATATTCCTATTTGAAATTACAGATGATATTAATGTTACCTCCATAATGGACATATCAAGGGCTACTGAAAATAGCATATCTTTAAGAATTATTTTAGAAACAGATCAACTCATTCATCAAACATTTATTGAACACTTATGGAGATAGATATGGTTCTTGCTTTCAAAGAGTTAACAATGATGATGATACAATGTGACTAGTACTATAATGGGGGCCATGGAAACAAGGAGGAAGCATGGTTATCTCTGCCCTAAGTAGGGATGTGCAAGCTCAGTTTTTAAGGAAGGGCAGAAATTTACTAGACATAAGTGAAAACAAAAGAGAAGAAGACAGCATTCTGGCAGGAAGGAAAAGATATGGGAAGTAATGAAATATGGTTGGTACTATTCCTAGAATTGTACTTAGTTCCCTATGGTTGGAACTGAGAATGTTCATCAAGAGCAGTGGTGGAAAATGAGACTGGAAACAGAGACCCAGTCTAAATCAGGATGATTTGTTTGCAAGGGAGCGACTACCCCTAGTGGATTTTAAATTAGGTAGTGAATTCAGTTTGCATCTTAAATTGTAATGTAAAATGAGGATAGAGTAGAGGCAGCAAAACCAATCAGAGGACTGCAGAAGTCCGTTGTTGTTAGGTGCCATTGAGTCAGTTCTGACTCATAGCGACCCTATAGAACAGAGTAGAACTGCCCCCTAGGGTTTCCAAGGAGTGGCTGGTAGATTTGAATTGCTAACCTTTTGGTTAGCAGCTGTAGCTCTAGGTAAGCGGTAATAAGAGTATAGCTAGCATGAATGACATTTTTTATTTTGTTCTGACTACAGTAAGCAATAAGTATTGATTACTTATAATAAAAATGAAATTACATATCTAACAATAAAATGATAACATTTATTATGGCTTATCAAAGTGCTAGAATATTACTCAGTCAAAAAATCTTTATGACACTTTTTAAAAAGTATACAAAAGTGTATATGTAGTTCATTAAACACATGTACCAAAAAAAAGTGAAAGAAATGTATCAAAATGATAACAGGGAGATTTATAGGTAAATCATCACTGCAAAGTGTTTAAGAACATAAACTCTGGTATCAGACTAATTTGAGTCTATATGTAGGCTCCAATATTTAGTTTTGTGACTTGGACAAATTAGCCTCTTAAAATCTCAGTTCCTTATCAGTAAAGGGAAATATTAATATTTATTTATAAAATAATGAAGATTAAATAAGTAATATATATAAATAATACTCGGAAATAAAATGTAAGCTACTAATCCCCTCTTTTAAAAAAGTCTATTTTCAAATTTTCTATAACCAACATATATTATTATTCAGTCAGAAAAACAAGTTGTATATCAAAAGAGATAAAGCCCTCAGTTAAGGCATAAATAAGTATGAAAAAACTCACAGGGTTCATGCATCAAAAAGAGAAAAAAGTGAGTTAAAGACAGAAATACATTTCTCTGCTTTATATAATCTTCTGTATGTATATAGTCTTGTCAGTGAATAGGAAGGTAAAAATAAAATAATTATTGACTTACTGGTTTCCGCAGGAAGAAGATCGACAAAGCTCCAACTAAGGGCATGTCTCCAATCAATGGTTCCAAGATCACCCGCATTGTACCATGAATCTAAATTGAAACAGTGATTCAAAATATTTAATAGAAAACAATTCTATAGGGCCATTTACCTGATGATGAAAGACTATGCATTATAATCTTAGTGAGTTTTAAACATTTGATTTTAGGTTTCTCTCAAGTATGATCTACAAAGAAATTCTGAGCTAATAAAAACTTCGTAGTTTTTCTTTTTGAATATAGTTTACAGAACTTTAGAAGACTAAGAAACTGAAAAAAAAAAAAAAAACTTACCTGTATACTTTTCACACCAGCTCTACAAAAATATCGCTTGATCTCCAAATCAATCTCACAATTTCCTACAAAACTAGAAAAGAAGAAATTCTGTATTATGCCAAGTGACTGAAATTAACCATTGTCTTAATCACCCTAAATGTGAAAGCTATATAATCTGAATAAAATAATAGCAAGGAACCAAAATCAGACTGTAGTCAAAAACTATAAAATGGGGCCCACATCATTGTATGTTACTGCTCTAGGCAACGCTACAACATTGGGGAAGAATACATATTTTACATACAGTTTTTATTTGTTTTTTCTATTTGAAGAATATTTATTGAGTCCCTGTTATGTGCTTGGTAACAAAAGCTACAGCTAACACATAAAGTTTCCCATGTGGCAGGCATTCTTTTAGCTGCTTTTTAAAAAAAATTATAGATAAACATAGACTTAAATATATAAAAATCTTAACTAAACATTAATGTTAATTTTCAAAGGAAAACGTAAATAACAAAGTTGCAAGTTCTGCAGCAGTCTTGTTGGCATGTAGTTTTCATTTGTCTTACAAACCCTACGTTACTCAAAAATATTTAATATATTTCATCACAAGCAAGTTTACTACCCATGCTGCTCAAACATGAAAAGACTAGCAGTGTCCCAGGGGCTCTGTAGTGTCAAAAGTTAAAAACAGTGCATCTGTTTTGAGCATCAATTTACTCAATGATGAAGTCATTGCAAACATTAGTATGAAACAAACATGAATATACTATGATGTTGAATGCACAGTTTGCATACCTGTTTAATATAAACATGAAATGTCAAAATATTGCATTTGATGTTGTATGATTTGATCCCTATCCTTGACTCCCAGAAGAAAGAAGTCACTTTCTTTCTTGAGAAACTGTGAGAAAGTCTGACAAATACTGTACAATTAATGCCTAAGAAAATGAATAAAAATATTAACAAAAGGTATATGGGATAAAATTCCTCAAATATTTATTGTCATGGTGTTAAAAGCAATGCCTTAAGATTCTTCTCATTGAGGATTTACTTATTCTTTATCTAGCTGGCAGAATCACCAATAACCCATTACAAAGTCATCTTAAAACTTTCATCTTATTCACCCTAAGACTTGATTGTTTTATTTCCTGATATCTTTCCATTATTCCTTCCCTCTCTATTACCAGTAACTTAGTTAAGGCCCTTGTTGGAAACACAAAAAACTCGAATGCACATTGTTTCAGATACATAAATATCTGAGCAGAATAATTTGCATATGTTGTTATGACTGCTAGAATCCATGAAAGCCAAAGAACATTTTGAAAATGATATCCATTAATTAATTCATTCAAATTTTTATTTAATAAATATGTATGAAATAATCACTAGGTGCTGGGAACAAAGCACTGAACAAGAAAAAGACATTCCAATCTTCATGAAGCTTATGTACAGCCTAATGGAAGGTTCTTCCAGGCCAGGTTACAGTGTAACTTAAAACATAAATGGGACTTCTTTTATTCCATTTATGACAATAATATTTGTACCAGTGCCAAATACTTTAAAGATGTAGATTTTTCCATATTACATCATTAAAGACATTCTATGCTCCTTTCTGAGAGAAAAAGTAGTCGGTACCAACTCTGTACATTTACCAGATTATTTTAGAAATTCAAAGATGACATTACAAAATAAAAATGATCCTTAGTCTAGGATTAAAAAAAACTCTGAGCTGCTAAGAATCACAAAATCGCCAGTTACCCAACAGCACCTCAGCAGTCACTATCCACACAGTTGTGTTATTAGGCCTCACACAAAATACAGTAAGCAATGTTGTTGTTCTTGTGTGCCGTTGAGTAGATTCTGACTGATGTGACCCTGTATGACAGAATAGAACTGCCCCATAGGGTTTCCTAGGCTGTAATCTTTATGGGAGCAGATCACCAGGTCTTTTATCCCATGGAGCCACTGGGTAGGTTCGAACCTCTGACCTTTTGGTTAGCAGCCGAGCACTTAATCATTGTGCAACCAGGGCTCCTTCAGTAAGCCATGAGCAAGTTCAAATTAGAAACGGGGACAAGAACAAAAGAAATTAACCTTTATCCTGCCAGGAATAGTATCAGATGCTATTCTCAATATCTTTTATTACTTAGATTATTAGGAACTGAGACCTAGAAGGTAAATAACATTTGGGTATTCAACAAGAATTTAGTCAAATTCTACTAAACAGCAAGTAAGAAGTGTGTTCATTATATCTACCACCTTATGGAAATACCTAAGTGACATACATTATTAACCATAACACAAATAAAAACTTACCTAATTTGAAGATCCAAAATAATTTGCCTTTTGTCTACATTTTCAGTATATACCTTAACACCATTGATCCTGAGGGGCTGAAACAAGAAATAGATTCTTTTAAAATGTAGGGAGGGAGAGAAAAATCAAGTCTTGCATATAGCATACAGAGTAACAGAACAGGCATCAGGCTATGGGAATTCAAATTCTGCTTTCACAAGGTACTAGCTGTTTGACTTTCAGTGAAACCTGTTTCCTCATCTGTAAAATGCAGATAACACTAGTAACTATCTCATGTGGTTATTGTGAAATTAAATTACATAATGAAAGCAATGTACCAGGCAGTGCCTGGTACACAGTAAACATTCAATATACATTAGATCTTATTTTGATGCTAATATATGTAATGATATATATGTTTGCTCTGTTTTCTAGTCCCTTACCTCCATTGTCTTTTACTGTAATGTGATTCCTTTCCACTTCATCCTTCCTACATTATATGAAATATAATTTTCTTTGTGTATTGTAATTTTTCATTTCTTAAGATTTTCACAAATACGAGACTTTTGAGTAAATCAAAAATACTAGCTGTAGGTATAATTTCAATACTTAATATATGATACAGAATCAGAATCAAATGACTATAAAAAAGCAAAGGCAGGTTATAATAAATGTTATATCTCAAGGGCCCAGTTATAACATCATTTCAAAACTTTTTCCTATTGATTGATTTGAGATCCCTTCTAAGAAAGTTCTCAATATCAAATCAAGATGAAGAAATACCTTACCTTCAGAGTCTTACTGCTTATTTTGAAAAGTTTAGATGTCATAAAATTTTACCTCTCAACGAGCTACAGAATTAACACTAAGTCTTTATTTGAAAGTCTATACATTTCCTATTAATTACCCAGGTTCCTGGGCTTTTTTCTTATGATACTAAGATTTCTAAAGTCTGCAACAGAGAAAGCTAGCATAAGGGAAAACAGGAACTGGGAAAAAAATATTGCCAACAAGACATGTACACAATGGTGTATCACTAAAAAACATAGATCAACTCATTGTGTTGATAAGTGAAAATGGGCCATATATAACTTAGTACCTTTATTTCAAATGTTTGCATTCTGTAACATATTCCTCTTCCTCCATTTAAATGACAGCTTAATTTAACAGAAACATGGAGGCCAATCCCACTCCAAATGTATAAAGAATTATCTAATTGAAGGATAAATATCTGAAAGTCAACAGAATTTAACTGCGTTGTAAAATATGTCCACTACATTATGTGCTAATGCACTGCCTTACACAGCACTTTCCATGTAGTTCTTGCTCCTTTTCTTTATTAGATAGCTAGGTTCTACAGGCCATTTGAAAGATGCCAGTACAGTAGATTCCAAACCTTTATTGAATCACCATTGCTCTTAACATGCTTAGTATTCTGTAACGCTTTTCTTGTTTAGTTGGTATCAAACTTAAAACACATATGATAGAGCATGAACATAATTAAATTCATCCTAAGATAAATCCAAGTAGAGTTAGAATTTTAAATCTTCACAACATGAGAATACCTTACATTAACCCACTGCTGTTGAGCCGATTCTGACTCACAGAGACCCTGTAGGACAGATTAGAACTGCCCCACAGGGTCGCCAAGGCTGTAAATTTTACGGAAGCAGACTGCCACATCTTTCTCCTGCAGAGTGGCTGGTGGGTTAGAACTGCTGACCTTTCTGTTAGCAGCCGAGCACTTTAACCACTGCACCACCAGGGGTCCTTACCTTATAGTAGGGGGTGGCAAACTATGACTTGCTGACTAAATTTGGCACTTGGCTTGTTTTTCTAAGGTTGACATACAAACCCTTGAGCTAATTTTTTTTTTTTTTTTTTTACATTTTTTAAAGATAAAAGCAGAAAGGGCAAGGAAGAGGGGAGCTTGTAACAGATTTTATGTAGCTTCAAAGCCAAAAATACTTAGTATCTAGCCCTTTACAGAAAAAGCTTGCGGACCCCTGCTTTATATTTATATAGCATTTTAACTTGTAATTGTGTTTGCTCCCATCTGTAGTTACCATTTTAAAGTTAGAGAAGGTAAAAACAAATACTAAAAGTAAATATTATACAGGCATAATGCTCAGGCACTTTGGCAGAGACAATCTGTAAATGGCATTTGAATAAAAGGATGACCACACTACTGGTATTTAACAAATTTGGAGACTTCAAAGCTAAGAAAAGAAATAGCCAGCACAATACAGGTGAATACATTTGATGAACCTGCATTTGAGACACTGGATTTTGAATAATTGCCAATGCTACAGAGGATTCTCTGCTCATAGAAAATCAGCTTTGATGGAAGGTGAGCATAAAACCCGGGTGGCGTGGGATGTGAACGAGCACTCAGGACATAGACACAGATCAGCCCAAGATCAGGATGACAGGAACAAACAATAACACCAACAAAACCACCAGGTCCTACATTCCCGGGGCCGCATTTATTAAAGTCCTAATTGGTTGACATAAAGAATATCTAAAGCATACTATATGGTGATATCGGTATATTGCTTGAATTTGTTGTATGTGTATTAAATGTGAAGTAATGTGTGTGTCTGTGTGTATTTAAAAGTATATAAAATTCTGAATTTTCATTAGGCATATAAAACAATGTTAACCTGAACTGCTGCTAATTATTATAAACACTGACTTAAAAAAATTTAAAAAGAAAACTTGCCATGATCAACTAATTCAAACATATTGAGGCTTTCATTAGAAGTAACATTAGGAACCAGTAGCTTTCCTTTTTGTATAATATGATTCCAATAATAAAATCTCTTTCCTCAAAATTGGCTTCACCTATATAATTAATGCAGATGTCTACAATTCAAGTATAGAGTCTTTAGTTTTGCTTTGTTTTGAAACATTTTGGGAAGGGTAAACACATTAAGCTCATTTACTTAAACTTCAGTGTGAATTCATATATTAAGCTCCCTTTCTAACAGGACAGAGAGCTGAAAACTGCAATTTTGCAGAGCTGAAAAAGCAATTTTGACAGAAGAATATGGGATAGAAAGGCATGTTGAAACTAAGAGAAATGACTCAATGAAGGCTGAAATTGGCCAAAAAAAAAAACACCTCAGAGTGGAAGAATGAGGGCAACATGAGGGGACCCTTCCTGATAGAGATGAAGGAAAAGGCATTACAAATTGGATGACAGATCCTGGAAGGGAGTTAAAGACACACCAGTCAAATCTTTTTTAAATGATAATTTTCCCTAGAAAATAATATTAAGTTGTTTAAAATTTTTGACAGCAATCCAGCTGTGTGTAAAAGTAAGGATACTTAAGAAGAAACTAACCTGCTGACCCATGTCAACCTTTGTGAAACTAAAGGTACTAAGGTGGGTGTTTGCTCCACGAACAGCTGGTTCTATTGTTTCTCGAAACAACTTCTCTATAAATTGGCAAATAAAAGGCCACATGTGTTTTACAGTCTGGAAAGCAGAAAGAAGACATCATGTTAAACAAGAAAGTTTTAACACATAATATACTTACGTCATCGTGAAAAATTATGGTCCTGTAGTTGATCAGAATTGGTTTTGAAAAATAAAGGGGATGGGGGAATTCTTGTTATGCAAAACCAACACGATATACATTTTAAAAACTTATTCCAACAATAAAGTACTGATTAACCAATATGTTGCAGGAATTAGTTATTATGGTTAAATATTCTGTTTAAGCATATCAGTACATTCAATGATTGCTAAAAACCAGAAAATCCTTGTGGTTTCAACTTATTGCTGAAAACCTTCCTGAACTATACAGCTCTTAATAAGTATTAATGAATTTTCTTTACTAACTTCCAGTGTTTTAAGATGATCATTATGTACATTAATTTTTATTATATAGCTCTAAGGATGTAGAAAATATAGAGATAAAAGTATACTGATATAAAAACATATTTTTTTTAAAATAAATGACTAATATCTTTTACTAGATTTCTTGGGAGTTATTTCCCTCTCCATAATAATGCTTCCAAAATGTTCACTTATGATTATTATAAAATAGATTTGAACATGGGCCAGTTATGAAAGACGATGCAAGACCAAAGATAAATATGAGTACATATATTATCAGTTTTCTCAGATCAAAGACATAGTTCTCACTCTTTAGAAAAGGAAAATATTAGTTATGACTGAGTTCTTTTGGGAATAGAAACCAACCCAATAAACTCTAAATGATTTCAAATGTTGTCAACATCCAAATTTCTAAATAAAGAAAGATATATCTCATCCTCTAATTCCCATTGATATGTGGTATTTGGTATGCTATGAGCTGTAATTGACTCGAGGGCAATGGGATTTTTTGTTTGTTTTTGGTTCAATCTTACCTTATTTAGCCATTCTGCTCTTTCAGTGTCGGGAAAATGAACCTAAGAGAAAAATACATACACACATAACTTACTTACTGACTCCTGACAACTGTAAATAAAATGTCAAGTTAGTGGATACTTTGTATTCTTATTATACATCTTATGTTTACATAATGTTTCTTTAAAACAATCTGCTCTAAAGCTTTGGAAAATGGATCTCTGAGGGGGAATTAAAATGTCTGGCACTCTGGCTCTTTACTTTTTAAGAATGCTCTAAGGCCAAAAATTCTAATGTTAACAAATGCCACCAGAACCTTTTCTACACCCTCACTGTCCAGAGGAACAGTCACTGATATTTGAAACATCTGAAGAGTATAAAAATCAAGATCACTCTTTTTTAAAGGAAGTATTCTCCCATTCCATCATTACTATCACAATCGTTGTGTTCAAGAAATCTAGAATCAGAGCCTTCAAAAACGGACCTTTCACCATGGAAGCTCCATAGACACATCTAAACGCCCCGAGGGACCAAATTAGTAGGCTGAGAGCTGTGGGGACCGTGGTGTCGGAGAACATCTAGCTCAACTGGCATAACACATATTATAAAGAAAACGTTCTACATTCCACTTTAGTGAGCAGTGTCTGGGGTCTTAAAAGCTTGTGAAGGCCATCTAAGATACTCCACTGGTCTCACCCCATCTGGAGCAAGGTAGAATGAAGAAAACCAAAGAGACAGTGAAAGATTAGTCCAGATGACTAACAGCCACGAGTACTACAGCCTCCCCTGACTGAGTCCAGCACAACTAGATGATGCCCGGCTACCACCACTGACTGCTCTGACAGGGATCACAAAAGAGGGTCCTGGACAGAGCTGGAGAAAAATGTAGAAAAAAATTCTAACACACAAAAAAAGACCAGACTTATTGGTCTCGCAGAAACTGGAGAAACCCCGAGACTATGGCCCCTGGGCATCCTTTTAGCTCAGTAATGAAGTCACTACGGAGGTTCACCCTTCAGCCAAAGATGAGACAGGCCCATAAAACAAAATGAGATTAAATGGGCACACCAGCCCAGGGAAAGGACAAGAAGGCAGGAGGGGACAAGAAAGCTGGTCATAGGAACTGAAGGTTGAGAAGGGGAGAGTGTTGACATGTCGTGGGATTGGCAACCAATGTCACAAAACAGTATGTGTACTAATTGTTTAATGAGAAGCTAGTTTGTTCTGTAAATCTTAATCTAAAGTACAATAATAAAAAAAAAAAAATCATGGGGAACTATTATGGATTGAATAGTGTCCCCCAAAAATGTGTGTCAATTTGGCTAGGTCACGATTCCCAGTACTATGTGACTGTCCATCATTTTGTCACCTGATGTGATTTTCCTATGTGTTGTAAACCCCGCCTCTATGATGTTAATGAGACAGGATTAGAGATGGTTACGTTAATGAAGCAGGATTCAACTTAACAAGATTAGGTCGTATCTTGAGTAAATCTCTTTTGAGATACAAAAGACAAAAGCAGCAGAGAGACAAGGGGACCTCATTACCACCAAGCAAGAAGAGCCAGGAGTGCCTGTCCTTTGTACCCAAGGTCCCTGGGTTGAAAAGCTCCTAGACCAGGGGGAGACTGATGATGAGGACTTTCCCCAGGAACCAACAGAGACAGAGAAAGCATTCCATGGAGCTGGGACCCTGAATTCAGACTTCTAGCCTCCTAAACTGTGAGAGAATAAATTTCTCTTTGTTAAAGCCAGAGAAAAAAAAAAATGGACCTTTCCCTTTTGCTTTCCACTTACTGCCCAAAATGGCCTGCAGATGCTTTTTCCATACTTAGATCCTCCCCATGCTCTCTCTCAAAACTCTCCCAAATGTGTATTATAATTGTAGTTTTCCATGCGCAGGGCCTGTATATTGAAGAACTATTTGCAGAGGCAGAAAAAAACCTATTTAGAAAAAAGGTGAAAAAAATTTTTCTTCTTTGCTGTTGGAGCTAAAATAAAACATCCCTGCAGAGGAAGTTAAAGCTGCTTTTGACCATATATAGAGATTTTCCTCTGAGAAATGATGTACTCCCTTGTCCCGCAAAAGAAGAAAAGTAAAGTCCATACTAATGTTCTGATAATCATATTTTTTATTTAAAATGAACAATGGATCATAGGCAATTTTGTACTGAGCACTAACATATGGTCAGGAAAATGTTCTGATTTCTAGCACTTATGTTCCTAAGTAGCAGCAAGTACGTGTACTGATGAAAATTAAGCGCATCACCCCCCCATCCACCCCCGCCAGGCCATACCACTCCTACTAACCTTGGGGAAGACAGATTAGAGAGAAGATACTTTGCAAAAATGGCTGAGAGAAGCTGGCACTGAGAATATTATTAGATTGTTGAGTCCCAAGAAGATGATTCTTTGAGAACCAACTCAACCTCTCATGCTTGACCCTTAAGAACAAACTAAAAATGGGATGTCAGCAGCAGCCAATCCTGGTCCAAAAGCAGTCATTACCATCACATCCATCATAGCCACACCAATTCCAAGAAAGAACCCTGTGAGAATGATTTTTTTTTAAATTTTTTTTTATTGTACTTTAGATGAAGGTTTACAGAACGGTTTCTGATTAAACAGTCAGTACACATATTGTTTTATCACATTGGTTAACAACCCCACGACATGTCAACACTCTCCCTTCTTTACCTTGAGAGGACCTTTTTTTTTTTAGTGAAAATATACATAGCCAAAGATACACCATATCAAAAATTTCTACATGTACAATTCAGTGACATCAATTACATTCTTCTTAGTAGTGCTGCTAATCGCACTATCCTTTTACAAATTATTTCATAACCATTATCTTCAACTCACTGTACCCTAGGCTTCCCATCAGACATTTTGAGTTGCTGTTGTCAATTTGATCTCACATAGGTAATACTTTTTTTTTTTTTTTGTTCTTTAGATGAAGGTTTACAGAACAAAGAGTTTCTCATTAAACAGTTAATACACATATTTCCCTATGACAATGGTTAACAACCCCACAACATGACAACACTGTCCCATATCACTAGTATTCTTGTCCCCTCCTGCCTTCTAGTCCTTGTCCCTGGACTTCACTGTCTTATTATTCCCGTTTTGTTTTATGGGGCTGTCCAATCCCAGCTGTACGGTGAACCTCAGGAGTGACTTCACCACTGAGCTAAAACAGTGTCCAGGGGCCATACTCTCAGGGTTTATCCAGTCTCTGTCAGGCCACTAAATCTGGTCTTTTTCTGTGAGTTAGAATTTTGTTCTACATCCTTCTCCGGCTCTGTCCAGAACCCTCTGCTGTGATCCCAATCAGAGCAGCCAGTGGTGGAAGCAGGGCACCATCCAGCTGTACTGGACACAGTCTGGTGGAGGCCGTGGTAGTTGTGGTCCATAAGTCCTTTCGACTAATCTTTTCCTTGTATCCTGTTCTCTTCACTCTCCCTTGCTCCCGAAGGGGTAAGACTAGTGGAGTATCTTAGATGGCTGCTCACAGGCCTTTAAAGACGCTATTCACCAAGGTAGAATGTAAAACACTGACTTTATCAACTGTGTTATGCGAAAAGAGCTAGATGTTCCCACAAACCATGGTCTCCACAGGCCTCCGCCCAGCAATTCAGTCCCTCAGGGAGTTTAGATGTGTCTATGGGGCTTCCATGAACTTTCCTTCTACAAATTGTGCTGGCTTCCCCAGTATTGTGTACTGTCTTACCCTTCACCAAAGATACCACTTATCTGTTGTCTTTTCAGTATTTCCCCCCACCACTCCCATCCCTCGTAACAAACATTGTTACTTTTTGTGTGTAAACTTTTTCATGAGTTTTTACAGTAGAAGTCTAATACAATATTTGTCCTTTTGTGATTGAGTTATTTCACTCCGCATAATGTCCTCTAGTTTCATTCATGTTATGAGATGCTTCACAGATTCATCAACGTTCTTTATTGCTGCATAATACTCCACTGTGTGTATGTACCATAGTTTCACCATTCATCTGTTAATGGGCATCTAGGTTGTTTCCATCTTTTTGCTATTGTGAACAATGCTGCAATGAACATGGGTATGCATATGTCTATTTGTGTGATGGCTCTTACTTCTCTAGGATAAATTCCTAGGAGTGAGACTGCTGAATCGTATGGTATTTCTGTTTCTAGCTTTCAAAGTAAGCGCCATATTTTCTAAAATGGTTGTATCATTACGCATTCCCACAAGCATTGCATAAGAGTTCCAAACTCCCCACAGCCTCTCCAACATTTGTTATTTCCTGTGTTTTTGATTTGTGTCAGGAATGCCAGGGTGAGATGGCATCTCGTTGTGGTTTTAATTAGTATTTCTCTGATGGTTAGTGATTGTGAGCATTTCCTCATGTGTCTTGTTGGCCACTTGAATGTCTTCTTTGGTGAAAGTGTCTGTTCATTTCCTTTGCCCATTTTTTAATTGGATTATTTGTCTTTTTGTTGTAGACATGTTGGATTTTCTTGTAGACTTTAGAGATTAGACCTTTGTCTGACTTGTAATAGCCAAAAATTTTTTCGCAGTCTGTAGGTTTTCCTTTTACTCTTCTGGTGAAATCTTTTAATGAGTATAAGTGTTTAATTTTTAGGAGATCCCAGTTATCTAGTTTATCTTCTGGAGTTTGTGTGTTGTTGGGTATGGTTTGTATCCTGTTAATGCCATATATTAGGGCCTCTACAATTGATCCTATTTTTTCTTCTATGAACTTTACAATTTTTGGCTTTATATTTAGGTCTCTGATCCATTTTGAATTAGTTTTTGTGTATGGTGTGAGGTAGGGGTACTGTTTCACTTTTTTGCAGATGGTCATCCAGTTTTGCCAGCACAAAGACTGTCTTTTCCTTATTTCACGGACTTTCGGCCCTTGTCAAAGATCAGGTGACCATAGGCGGATGGAGTTACATCTAGGTTCTCAATTCTGTTCCACTGGTCAATGTATCTGTCATTGTACCAGTACCATGCTGTTTTGACTACTGCAGTTGTATAATAGGTTCTCAGGTCAGGTAGTGCGAGTTCTCCTACTTTATTC